TTTTTTTTTTTTTTTTTTTTTTAGTACTGGGGATTGAACTCGGGTCCTTGCACTTGCCAGGCAGGCCACTGAACCGCTGAACTAAATCCCCGGCCTGGAAGGACCTTTTTTTAAGGTCCTAGAAAAAACAAGTACAATCTAAATTCAAAGCTAGTATAAGGGAGGAAATTATAAAAATCAGGAATTAATGAAGTTGAGACTAAAACACACGCATACAGTCAATAAGTCAGAGTTGGCTCTTAGAATAAACAAGATAGATAAACCCTTAGCCAGTCTTAAAAAAACACACAAAAAAGATGAAGTCACAATAGATAACCACTGCTTTGAAAACCTGTATTCCAATAAATTAGAGAATGCAGAGAAATGGATAGATTCTTAGATACATATAAATAATCAAAACTGAACCAAGAAGATATAAAAACCCTAAGTAATCCAAAACAGGCAATAAAATCGAAGCAATAATTTAAAAATCCTGCCAACTAAGAAAATCCCAGGGCCTCGTGAATTTACTGCCAAATTCTACAAGAAATTCAGGGAAGATCTAATGCCTAAACTCCTCAGGTCCTTTTAATGAAATGGAAAGAGAAGGTGTACTCTCAAAGCTTTCCTGGAAGCTAGCATTACCCTTATTCTAAAAATGAGAAAACGACCCAGCCAGAAAAGAGACCTACCAGCCAGTCTTTTTAATGAACATAAATGCAAATCTCTTCAATAAGATACAGGCAAACAGAATGCACCAAATCATCAGAAAGATCATACATCATGATTAAGTAGTCTTCATCCTGGGATTCAGGGATGGTTCAACATATGCAAATCAATAAATGTGTAGCATTGCATCACATAAACAGAAGCAAGGACAAAAATCACATGATCATTTCAGTAGATGCAGAAAAAACTTGACAAAATCTAACATCCATTCATGATAAAAACTCTGAAGAACGTAGGTATGGAAGGACCTTACCTCAATCTGATAAAAGCCATTTGTGACAAACATTGTAATGGGGAAGAACTGAAAGCCTTTTCTCTAAAATCAGGAACAAGATAGGGATATCAGCATCACCACTCCTGCTCAAAGTCATCCTCAAAACATTAGCCAGATCAGGCAGAAGATAGAAATGAAAGGGATACATATAAAAAAGGAATAATTATTATTTGCAGATGACATGATCCTCTACATAGACGAACCAAAAAAACTCCACCAAAAGTCTCATAGAATTAGTGACCAAATTCAAGAATGTATCAGGATACAGAGTAAGCACTCAAAAATCAGTAGTGTTCCTCTACCCCAATAATGAACTCACTTAAAGAAGAAAACAATATGCATAAAGAAAAATGAAATATGTAGGAATTAACCTTACTGAGGAATTGATAGACCTATACATTGAAAATTACAGTCCTCTGAAAAAGGAGATGAAAGAAGACATCACGAGACAGAAAGATATCCAGTTCCTGGATAGACAGAATCCAAATTGTTAAGCAGATTTAACAGTGTTCATCAAAGAAATAGAGAAAACAATCCTAAAATTTCTGTGGAACCAGAAGAGACCCATAATAGTGAAAGCAATCCTGAACAAGAGCAAAGCAGGAGGGATCGGAGTCCAAGATTTCAAGTTATAGTACACAGCTGCAGTGGTAAAACAGTTCGGCACTGTCACAGTAATGATGGATCAACAGAACAGAAGAGATAGACTTGCTTCCGTGAAGGCCCTGCTCACTGTCCACCCGTGTCCCATAAGGGCATGCTGGGTGCTTTAAACACACTCATTTACTTTAGAAAACCAGAATATTGTGCTTTAAAAATTTAAAGATATTTAGTTTAAGCAAGCACTAAACTTTATGACTTCATAATTTAGTATCATAGGCTATAGATATGGATGGAATATGATTAGCAACTATAGAAATATCAATAATATATTTATCATCTTTTTTGCTAAAGGATTGCATCAGTCAGACCATAAAGCTATATTTGAAAACTTTTTTAGTTTCTTCTTTAATTAGCATATGTTTGTGGTACATAATCATACTCATCTTGAAGAATTGGCTCACACATATAGATGGTATCACGTAGCTCCTTTGAAAAGCCGTTGCAGTATATTTTGCTGTTTAAAGAGTGTTGTTTCCCTGGCTCACGTCATGACTAACTCATCTTGTAACTGAGATGCCTCCCCCAAAATAATTGTATGTGGCATCTTTATCAGGATCATGTGTCAAACGTGTCTGATGTTGCCAGGTGAGAAAAGTGGAAATGCCATTTCACCTGAGGCAGAGATGGCAGGGCTGGTGGTACCTACCCAGAGCGGTTGGAAACACCAGACGCAGCCCAGTTCTCACAGCCCAGGGCGGGCGCTGGATGGAGGGATGGGGGCCAAAGCCGAGCTCCCGGGATCTCTGCAGCAGAGCAGTTTGGGAAGCGCCGCCCTCCTGAAGCCATCACGTGCGCAGAGCAGCGTGGCCCTGACCTGTGCCCTTGTGTTGCAGGTGTGGTGTCCCTGGTGGCTGTCCACCCAACCACGGTGAACACACTCGGGAAGCAGCTCCTGCCCAAAACCTTCGGACAGTCCAATGTCAACATCACGCAGCAAGTGGTAAGGTGGCGGTGGGCCTGGGAGTGAGGTGGGCATTATCCTGCAGCCCCATTCCAGGAGCGTAGCACTGGCCCCTCGGTGGACGCTGGCTGGGGTCACTGATGTCACTGTGAATGCCGGCCAAGGTGGCTGACATCCCTGAGTGGATGCTGGCTGAGGTCACTGACATCTGTGGTGGACACTGGCTGGCTTTGCTGACGTCCCACAGTGGACTCACTGGTTCAGAGCTCTTGTCCCGTCTGTGACTGTAGGTGGAATGTGCACTGTGTACATGGCGGGTGTCCCTGCCATCCCTGGAAGATGACTGATGGGTGGCAGGTGTAACATAGGATGCGACCTGGGCCCGAGCCAGCTTTCTTCCCCATCCTGAGCACTGGATAGCAAGGCCACTCTGTAGTGACAGCACCTGACCTCCTGACAGCTGCTGTGCTTCCTGGGTGGCTGTCCCGGGGCAGCAGGGGCTCAGTGCCTTCCTCCTATCATAGGCTGTGGGTCAGGGAAGGACATCTGCCAACCCTGCATAGTCCGGACCCCACCTGCCCTGCTGCAGCTCCTCCCGGTTCCAGGCTGCAGGCTTCAATCTGGGCCGCCTGACAAGGCCTGGACCTCGGTGACATTCCTGCTCCTCCCGCAGTGCCCCCACCTGCCCAGCACCCTGGCCTCTGTCCCGCTGCTGTCTTGTGCTCTCTGAGAAGGGTCTGAGCAGAAAGAGGACCTGTATTTGGAGTAAGAGGTGTGGCACTGTCCCGCAGGCATCCTCACATCTTCACAGGCCCCATGGTCCCCCGCCCCCAGACGCAGTCCCAGGTCGGTTCTCTGTGCTGCTGTCTTCTGAGTGACTTTTCTGTGTACCCCATTTCTTCAGAGAAGGCAACTGTACGTGCATATTGGACCCTCACACCTTTCTGTTGGATTTTCTGCTTTTCGGTACCACTTGATAAAGCTGAAAAGCCCAGTTTTGTTCTGCCTTGTCCTTTCTCTAGCTGATGGGATAGATACCATGGGTCATGTGACAGCAGAATTCAGCTCCTTGTCTCAGCAGTGGCACCTGCTGTGGGTGGAGGGGTGACTGGGAGCAGGTGGCTGAGGCAGGCGGGCTTCCTCAGGTGAAGGCCAGCCCTGTGGTTTGAGCTGAATCTTGTGGGGAGAGCTTGTTGCTGTCTTGAGCTCTGAAATGGCACCCACGTGAAGTAAGCTTTCGTGTTGCAGGTAACTGGAAACCTTGTTATAACTGAGGGTTAAGAAAGGCCACCCGACTTACTCTGACATGGATGGTGATGCTTTGCCCTGTGTGAGGTGACTGTAGGCATTGAGTCCTGCATGTCCCCGTCAGGCCTGGGAGGAGAGGGCTCAGGCAGGGTGCCCACCAGGAGGCAGCCCTTCTCCAGAGGAGAGCTGGGTGGACACTCCCTGTCCTGGGCAGCTTTGCCTCCTTCATCCTCCCTGATGAGTACTTGGATTCTTCCAGCAGGTGGAATCAGTGTCCACTGAGGCAATCCAGATTGTAATTTCTGGGATACATGAGGTTGAGGTGCAGACTCAGGAGGAGATGTCCTAACACCTCCTTCAGGCCAAGGTTTGCTCAGTGGTGAGTGCTTGCCCGGTGCCACAGAACAACAAATACTCAGGTGCCCCAGGTGCCAGTGTGGCCAGCTGTGGAGGAGGAGGGATCTCTGTTGCAGGTCAGGAGGCTGGGATCTGAAGCCACACCCTCCCTGTGAACCAGCTGAACCAGCCTGTTCCTGCAGTGAGGATAGGAGGGGCTTCTGTGATCCAGTCACCTGGCCTGCACCTCCACAGAGACCAGGCTGTTACAGCCCAGGAAGCAGCCTTTGCTTCTGGGGCTCTGACTTTCCCTGCCAGGGCTCCGTCTCAGGCTGCAAATTAAATCTGTGACAGTGGGGTCCTGCCTCCTGCTAGCCCCAGGTGGCTCCTAGGTGCTGTGGTCCCAGAGGAGGGTCCTCTGGTGGTGTGTGTGTGGGCTGTCCCCTATCCTACAATGTCTACCACCTGCTCCACGTCCCGTCCTTGGGCCACAAGCACAGAGCTCATACTTGGCCAGCTCGCAAGGGTGCCTGGCTGTCCTGGGGTGCACGTGGTGTTGTCTGACAGACACGGTTATGAAGCGGCTTGGGCAGTGGAGACAGCAGTGCAGGCAGCATCCGAGCTGCCTGGCCCTTGCACAGCAGTCCACAGGGACTGCTTGAACAGCAGTGGAAGTGTGAGGGCAATGGCAGGGCCATCCCACCTGCACGCCGCAGCTGGGAGATTGCTGCATGGGGCCACCCGTGTCTGAGGTCAGGGAATGTGGCCATCACATTGAGTGCAGGCTCTGCTCCTTGTGGTCCCACTGCAGGCTCTGGGGCGAGCTGACACTGTCTCGGGGAGGCTGTGGGGCACTTGCCTGTTTCTGGTCCATGTGCAAGGGTGGTGGCCCTGTGTGAGCCACTGGCCCCAGCCCAAGTCTCCCATGGGATTGAGTGGAGCTTGGTCCTGGATGGCCTGGCCTTGGCAGTCCGCGCTGACCATGCAGCTCCGAACCTCACAAGACTTGTGTCCTCCCAGTGACCCTGGGTCCTGAACGTACCTGCATATCCACTGAACAGGGCAGAAGCGTCCTGGTGCTTTGTAAGACCAAAAGATTTCTATCACCTGTTGTCTTGCTTTTGCCGACGTTGCTAATTTGAGTTTGTGGCCAATTCCAGAGTGTGGCCGCAGAGCAAGTCCAGCTCTTGACCCAGGGCCTCCATGGCCCCAGCAGCTAGCACTGTGGCTTCCATCCTCCAAACCAAAACAGCTCTGGTCCCACGTGGTGTGTGACATCTGAGACAGGGTGGCAAACCAAACACAGGGCATTTACCAAGGAGTAGTGTTCCTCACTGAGATGGCCCCACAGCAGGGTTTTTGTGATGATGTTGAAACCGTAACGGGTTCCTCTCTGCTGTGTCCTCTCTGCTAGACGCCGTGGATGCCTCACTTCGACCCAGGAGCTTGGGGCAGATGAACCAGTTTGCACTTTGCTCCTGGGCTCACTGCCCTCCCTTCTTCCCTGATGCTACGGGGTACCTGGCACACATGTGACAGCAGCTGTCACCATTAACACAGAGTTGGGAGAAGGTGCTGTCTGTGCTGCTATTGCTTTTTTTGTTTTGGGGTACCAGGAATCGAACTCGGGCCCTTGCGCTTGTGACGTGGATAGTGGAACCACTGAACTAAATGCCTGGCCGGGTATTGCATTTTGAGAGCTTTTCTTTGTGTTCTGGCCATTTTAGTAGCATATGAGGATACAGTTTTAGCCTTATCTATCTTATTAAAAAGTGAAAGAGGCTAAGAGGAAAACCAGAAACATGTCTCAGTGCCCCATTGTTAAATTCGACTGCCACCCTGCGCACTGTGAGTACTGCCATCTGTTGTGGGTGTGCCTTCATCCCCTCGCCTCAGCTGGGTGGATGCAGCATTAACACTGAAAAGATGGTGCCAGTGCTGGCTCAGAACTACGTGATGGAAGCAGCCACCCATGGGGCATCGTCATTGCTGTCATTTCTTATGGCTGCAGGTACAGCGGGTGACAAAAGCCACGGTGTCCAGGTGCAGGAGGTGGCTGACTCCTGAAATGTCCCCTCCTGCAGGTGATCGGCACACCCCAGCGGCCAGCAGCATCCAGCACGATCGTGGTTGGAAGCCCACACACCCCGAGCACGCACTTTGTGTCCCAGAGCCAGCCCTCTGAGTCCTCACCGTGGTCTGCCGGGTGCGTATCCCCTGGACCCCATGCCTGCCTGGAAGGCCGCCCTCTATCTCGGGATCACATGGCCAGGTGACTGGGCCCCTGACCCTCCCACCTGGCTGCATGTCACGACACAAGCTGGCAGAGAGATGGAGGTGGGATGTTCCTCCACCTGGAGGGTCAGAAGTTCTGGGCCCCGGAGAGGAGGAAGTCACCTCCCATGCACACATGCCTGCCATGAAACTGCCTGCTGCCTGCTGTCTGCGTGGGGATGTATGGCCATCCTAGGCTTTGTCCTGTGCCATGCCGTGTTGTGCCCCATTGGTGGTGCCACCAGACTATGTGGCTGTAGCATCTGACCTGGAAGTGATTCTCCTGAGCATCAGCTGTGTCTTACTCAAAAACTGAGGCACAGTTGTGAGATGGGGTCTGCTTTGGGTCTGCAACAAAACCGCCTGTGCCCAAAGCTCAGCTGTCAAGAGCTTAGGGACCTTTGTCCTCCGTGAGGTGACGTATACAGTTTCCACAAGTCTTCTTTCATCGCACACGTGCTGGGTGCCCCGGGCCTGTGGGTATAGGACCAACCTCGGCCGCACGTGTGCCTCACATATCACAGTGGCCCGCCACGATGAGCCCTGAAAATTCCTAAATTACACCAAAATGCAAGGCAGCCTGAGGCTGGTCACCACCTCCAGGAGGGGCATTGCTCGGGGTGTTGGCACACACGGTGCTGTCTGCCTCACAGAAGTCTCGAGGATGCCGCCACTTTCTGTGTCCTCATGTGCTGAGGAGCTGTCCTGAGGCTCTGGGCAAGGGCTTGGAGGGCCGCAGGGCCTGTGCATCCTGGGGCAGGCTGACCCCCGGCCTCCGCCCATCTGCAGGAAGCGAAACAGGAAGGGCGAGAAGCACGGCAAGGGCCTGCGGCACTTCTCCATGAAGGTGTGTGAGAAGGTGCAGCGGAAGGGCACCACCTCCTACAACGAGGTGGCCGATGAGCTGGTCGCAGAGTTCAGTGCTGCCGACAACCACATCCTGCCAAACGAGTCTGTAAGTGGAGCACAGAGGGTCCAGGGTGGTGCGAGGGCGAGTGGCCGCAGCCTGGCTGGGAGCAGTGTTCTGTGAGGTACCCCAGGGGGCCTCACGGGGATGCACTCACGGCCTGGTCCACGATACTCATTGATGAGGTTGGACTCACTCAGAAGTCATTGCTCCGCGCCCCCAGGCGTATGACCAGAAGAACATACGGCGGCGTGTCTATGATGCCTTAAACGTGCTGATGGCCATGAACATCATCTCCAAGGAGAAGAAGGAGATCAAGTGGATCGGCCTGCCCACGAACTCGGCTCAGGAATGCCAGAACCTCGAGGTGCATCCTAACCTCCCTTTTCCATGTGTCACGGGCATTGTGCCGTCGTGATCCCTGGTAGGGTCTTGGCAGTTGCCCTGTGACTTGTTTCTGGACCCTGGGGCCTCTGCCCCGCTGACTGAACCCTGAGCTTGAGGGGAGCTTAATTCTCAACCTTCCTTCATGGGGTTTAAAAAATGCCGCAGCCGCATCCAGGATGGGGTTGGGGAGCAGGCCACTTCTGGAACTGCTGGACCCTGGCATCCTGGCATGCAGTGGTGACTGGAGCCCCACAAGGCATGGGCTGGGCTTGCCTTGCACTGTGCCGACCGCAGCGACGGCCCCTCTGCATGTTGTAGGTGGAGAGGCAGCGGCGGCTGGAAAGGATCAAGCAGAAGCAGGCCCAGCTCCAGGAGCTCATCCTGCAGGTGGGTGCCAGGAGGGGTCTGTGGCACAGCCTGCATGCTGCAGAGTGTGCAAGCCTGCGCATGTATGCACGCATGAGCAGATGTGTCTGGTGTGGGCACCTGTGGGCAAGCTTGAGCGGATGTGGGAGTGAGCAGGTATGGGAGTGTGCACAGATATGCGCGAACAAGTCTGTACTAGTGTGAGCAAGCACATGCAAGTGTGAGAACCAGTATGGGCGTGAGCAGGTTAGTGAACATGTGCAAATGTAAGCAGGTCTGCAAGTGTGAACAGGTGCCAACATGTATGCAGAGGAGCCTGTGTGAATGGGAGCATGTGTGTGAGCAGCGTGTGCATGTGCTCCTGTGGCCTGAGTGAGCAATCGGTGGTGTGCAGGGAGTGTGGTGGCCTGGGCCTTAGCTGCTGCTCAGAGGATGGCCCCCATCGGGCTGATGTGTCCACAGCGAGGGGCAGGGCTTCCCACGGAGAGCTGAGAGTTCCCTGTCAGCACAGGCAGCAGTGCAGACAGACAAAGCATGTGCAGAGCTGGCTGCAGGGTGGCAGTGACCCTAATCCAGGCACTGAGAGGAACCTGGGAGACCTGGGGGCCCAGCCTGCTCTCCCACCCAGAGGGAAGAGGAGGTGGGGCCACCACCTCTGTTCTTCCACGGCACCCAGCCTGTCTGGTGTGGCTGCATGTGTGGCACGGTCCCTTCTCTGGGTGGGGCCCTGTGGTTCCCTGTCTGGGAGGAGGCGTCACCCTCCCCCTCGGGTCACAGGGCCAGGCTCCCCTGTGGTATGGCTGTGTGGGGAGTGTTGCTCCCAACGTCAGTCCTTGCTGGTGGGTTCTTATCTCCCAAGGCTCACATTCCCACCTCCTGCCACTCTGCCCTGCCCGGGCAGGGTGGCTGCTCCTGGGGGAGAGGCTCAGATGCTGGAACTGCAGGTTGGCTGTCCCCTCTTTCCAGCAAATCGCCTTCAAGAACTTGGTGCAGAGAAACAGGCAGGCAGAACAGCAGGCCCGGCGGCCACCCCCACCCAACTCCGTCATCCACCTGCCCTTCATCATCGTCAACACCAGCAGGAAGACCGTCATTGACTGCAGTATCTCCAATGACAAGTGTGTCATGATGGACGTGTGGGAATGTTCTCAGGGCTTGTTCCTGGCATGGCACAGCAGCAGCGCTGCTGTCCCCTGCCGTGGCCTCAAGCCTGGCCCACTGCCTATACAGGCCATGAGGTTTCCTGGCACGTGCCTGCCTGGGTGTGATACTGTGTGCCTTCCCTAGGGCCGTCCTTGGTCTGTGGGCTGTGGGTGGGCACAGCTGGGGGAGGGACCTCGCCTGGGGCTGGCTTTGTGACTGCACCTGTCCTGCAGATTTGAGTACCTGTTTAACTTCGACAACACATTCGAGATCCATGATGACATTGAGGTGCTGAAGCGGATGGGCATGGCCTGCGGCCTGGAGTCCGGCAGCTGCTCTGCTGAGGACCTCAAGATGGCACGAAGCCTGGTGCCCAAAGCTCTGGAGCCGTACGTGACAGGTCAGTCACACCCTGGCGACTGAGCATATGTGCTGAGATGAGCCAAGCTCAGGCCACTGCACAGGAGAGCGTGAGTCTGAGAGTGGCCTGTGTGGTTGATGATGTGATAGAGATGTGAAGAAAAGTCAGGGTTTGTCTTTTGGGTTGGAGCCAGAGTGAGGAAAAGCAGCGTAGTTCGAGTGGTGGCCCTGAGGCAGTCCATAGCCCTGGGACCTGGCAGCCAGCTCAGTTTCCTGCTGGGGGAGCTATTCTGCCAGGGCGCATGGACATAGGCAGTGACACCCGACTGCATGCTGGGCCTTTGCTGGGCTGTGCCTAGGGCTGGGTCCTGGCTGAGGCTGGCTCTGTGGTAGGGACTCGGAGAAGATGCCTGTAATCTGTGTCCCTAGCTTGAGTCTGGCTTTGTTCCCCAGAGGGTCAGTGATTTCTCCTTGAACTTGGAGGGCTCTGGCCCATCCACCACACTGGGGGCTCGGGGTCCTGCCCACCCTGAACCCCTTCCTGCCGGTGCCCAGGGAGGTTGGTCGGTCTTGTGCAAGTGTTTGTCTCTCACCTGAGGCCCCACTTCCTGCTGTACACACTTCCTGCCATGACACTGACAGGCCTGTGCAGTGCCCTGTCTGCACTGTGCCGGGCTGAGGGGTGTGTGCCTTGTGGGGGCCCCTGACAGTGGCCTGCACCCTGTGGAGGCCCCTGGCTGGGTCCCAGCATTGCTCCGTACTCTCCTTTTCAGAAATGGCCCAGGGGTCCATCGGCAGCGTATTCCTCACAACAGCAAGCTCAGCGTCCAATGGCACGAGGCTGTCCGCCAGGTGACCGCAGGGCTGGGCTCGGGCATCACTGGGTGGGCAGGGGTGCCCAGGCTGGGACTGCACCCTTCTCCCCGGTAGAAGAGGCTTCTTTTCTCAGTTGGCTTCTTCCTCCTAAAAAATGAAACTGGATTCCTGTTTTTATTTTTTTAAAGTAACATCAGAAGGGGGGCGGGCAGGGCATGTAGCTCAGTGGTGCCACACCTGCCTGCCAAGAGGCAAGATCCTGAGTCTGATCCCCAGTACCAACAAGAAAAAGAAAGAAGCAAAATCCACCTTAACCCCAGGAGCTCAGGACCAACAGGTCTTTCACTTTTTATTTTATTAAAACATTTGAGGTCTTAGTGTATGTAAGATTTTGTTCTCTGCTTTTTTTTTCACCTCATACTTTATCACACGTATTTTGTGTGCTGTGTAAGGGCCTTTCTTATTTAGATGAGTGTTTAACCTCACCTGGCACAGTGATGTCCCTGGCATTCAGTGCTTTAAGATGCAGGACTTGCTGTGGTTTCTCACTTCCTGGGGTGCCCTGGTGTGTCTCCCATGGCATTGCTGTACCCCGAGAGGTAACATGTTAATGGCCTTAGAGCGGGGTGAATTAGTCACCATAGGCCTGTGGAACAGGGTCAGTCTGGTGAGACCTGGCTGGACACTTCGGGCTGAGATCTGGGCCACAGCAGGCTGGAGGACGGGACCTCGGAGATGTCCCTGCGTCCTGTGCCATTGGGTCTTTCCCTTGCATCTTGGGCTCCAGGGTGCTTATGACTGTGGGTGTCAGGCTGCACATTGTTAGCAGAGGGCACAGCTGAGATGTAGTTGGAGTGATTTTAGGGATTCCACCTTCAGGTCACCCTCTTCATTGACATCATTCCATCTCCGTCAGTTTTTAGGCTGGAAACAGCTCTGCCATTTCAAAGAAAACCAGTTTTAGTAGAGGCGGGATAAGGTAGGAGCAGGTTAGGTGTTTTATAAAGCTGCCTTCAGGTGGCTACAGGTACTAGGAAAATCAAAGGATCTGCTTTGTGGTGCACTTCTCACCTCTGCCCTGTCCTGCCAGGCTGAGTTTCCAGTTGCAGGTTGCTAGCATGGTGGGGCAGGGGCTGCCGAGCAGGCAGAGGGTGCGGTAAGGGCTGGGAGGGGTGTTGGTGGCAGGTTGAGGGCCAGCTGGGTCCAGGGCACAGTGAGGGGTGTCAGGGCAGCGCCTGTGGCGCTCAGACTTCAGGGTGCTGCCCCTTTATGGAGCCTGGCCCGAGGGTCTTGTGCATGCCAGGCAAGTGCCCGTCAATAGGCTTGCCATTGTCCTGGCCTGCCTGTGCCTCTTCCCTGGCCCGCCACGGGCTGGAGGAATTGGAGGACTCACCACCTTTCCACGTGTGCCCTGGGACCCCTGCCAGTGTGGTGGCCAGCATGGTGTTCAGGTTAGGGTACAGGAGCTGCTCAGGAAGGTGGGCCCGCATTGCTGGTTCTTAAATTTTCCATTTTCATGGCATTGCTTAAAAGCCGGTCCTTGCAGAGTGGTGCTGCCTGTGCTTGCGCTGGGTGGCAAGGCCATTCACCGCTCACCGCCCGCTGGCGCTGTCCCCACAGTGACCTGAGCAACGGAGCGGAGGGGACCCTGGCCACCAGCTCCAATGGGTCTCAGTACAGTGGCTCTCGGGTGGAGACGCCCGTGTCCTACGTCGGGGAGGACGATGAGGACGAGGACGACTTCAACGAGAACGACGAGGATGACTGACGCCTGCGCACCCCCGTCAGCTTCAGGAATCATCGTTAGAAAAGAGAAACTTTTCTTAGCGTGGGTTTTTCTCCCTTTCTGGCCTTCCCTGGGAAGGCGCGGTAAGCTGTGGGTTTAGATGCGCACCTCCGATAAGCAAGGACTGTTCCGCACACTGTGGAGACGTGTGTGCGCGTGCGTGTCTGGTGCCAGTGTGCTGATGCAGAGCCTCTATTTACCTTCGTGTTCTATTTTTTTCTTTAGTTCAGAGTTTGTTTCTGTCTCAGCAGTGCTTGCTGGATTTCTGCGGGTGACGTCCTACCCGCGGTGGCCCAATCTGGGTGCAGTTTGCCGTGTGCTCAGAGGCGCCACCTGCTGGCGGAGAGCGGAGCTCCAGCATGAGTCTTCCCCGACAAATCAAACAGGACCCAGAGAGCCAAGCGGATAACAAAGCTCTGTTTTTAAAAGTAGTTGAGCGCCATAAATTTTATTATGATCTTGCTTTTCCTTAAATTATGTCGATGTTGCAAACCCGTCAGACCTGCACACTTTTTCTGTTGCACCAGCTAATTGTGACATGCTTGTTTTCCTTTGGTAGAAGGTTACTGCCTCGTGGGAGCAGCCCTGGGATGTGTGGAAGGGTTATTGCTTATGATAAAATTTGCCTGATTTCTTACAGGCCGCGTTTGGAAACTTTTTATTATATAGTTGTTTACATACTTATAAGTCTATCATTTAAAGACATGTACCGAAACAAATGTTGTATTTGTTTCCTAAGCATCTTCATGTAATCTATTATAAAGTTGAAATTAAACATAGAGAGTGTTTTAACAGTTTTTTAACTCAAAATTTGTCAATCATTTTTAATAGTTCTTTTTTTATAAAAAGAAAGGAATTTAAGGACAGGCAGTTGTCTCTTTTAAAATTTACTCACAAAAACCGTTAACTGCACAGTTGCTATTAGCTGCCTGTTCTGAAACAATAGTCTTTTTATTGAAACACAAATAAACTTTTCTGTAATATTTTATGGAATATAAAGAGACTTTAATTGTTTGACTTTAACTTGGCACTGTTAGTTTTTATTAATAAAAGGCGCATGGGCATTTTAAACAAGCTCTGTGTTTCTTTAATTCAGGATTATTATCTCAAAATTGTCCTCACTTCTTGGACTAGTTCTACACTGTGGAGAAGTCAGCTGCAGCACTAGGATGGGGTCCCCGGGTGCGCCCTCCCCTCACTGAATTAGCATCCCAGGCCTGCGCTGTCCTGGGTGTGGACCCCTCCTCTGAGCAGGGTCCTGGGCCCGCACCCCTCCTGCCTGGAGTCGTGGCTCCCTGGGGGTTGAGCACACAGCTGTGGCCTGGAGCAGACAGCGTCCTGCTGGGCTGCCGATGAGACTGTGAGAACAACTTCAGAGAAGTTTGGAGCTGACTGCATAGCTAGGGCAGAGAGACCTGCAGTTTACCCTCAGCTGGGCCCGGCAAGGGACAGCTCATTGCACCCCTAAACAGCAGTGAAGAAAATGCCGAGGAGAGACAGGGAAACTGCTGCTCATCGCCATGGCGGCAGGTTCAAATGCCCCACTTTCCGAAGAAAGTCCCAAGACATGAAGCAGAAAAGTACGGCCTGTTTAAAGGCAAAGAGTCAGCAGACATTCCCGAAAGGGCGGTGGTGTCCTAGCAGAGACCAGGCAGATATGCCACTGTTGTCAGAGAACAGGTATTCAGAGGCACAGTGATGATGGGCAAAACCAGAGACAACAGACAGAAACTTAGAGGAAGCTGGAAAAACTGAGCTGTAGAGTGCCCTAAACAAAGCCGGAAGTTTCCTAGAGCAAGTCAAAAGTGGCACACTGAACCTGAAGGCTGATGATGGAAATGACCGAGGCTGAGGAACAGGATGATGGACAGACTGTGAGCAGCCCCATGGTTTTGTCTGACTCTCTGGCCCTGTCCTTTCCCAGACATCCTCTCCGAGAGCCGGGCTGACTTGCACTTGCCTGTGCGGAAGGAGCTTGGATGTGGCTCGTGCAAGGCCCGGGTTCGGTCCCCAGCGGGTGCTCGCTGCTGTCTCGGGCCAGGCTTTTGGGGTGCAGGAGGAAGGACTTGTTCCAGGGAAGGGGACCTGACCAGTGCTGTGATTAACTGGATCCAGGTCCTGCCTGTGTATGGTAACTGGCTCCCCCACCCACCTGCCCCTGAAACCTCGGGTGTTCACAGCTGCCAACGCCCTGCGTTGCACCTGCAACTGTGCAGAGGAGGCTTTTAAAGAAGGAAGTGTTTTGATTTTTAGTTATCTGTTCTCCCAGGTTGGGAAAGATGTGACTGTCTTACATAGAGTAAGAGTAACTTTAATGTGTTTTGTTTTTACATCTTTAGAAGGGAGAATTCAGAATGTGCATTGTTGGAAGCCATGTTTGCTGTCTGTGCTTCTAGTTTTATGTTGCCTTGAATGGTGGTTCATATTAAAGTCTAGAAAAAATAAGTCATAGGAAGAGAAGTCTGTGGAAGAGGAGTGATCATAGGGCTGGGTTCACTGGGCAGGGGCTGCCTTCAGGTAACCACATCTTATCCTGACTGAGGTTCCATCCAAAGCACAGTAAAAGTGTAATGGTGCAAGCCTGAAATCCTAACTACTCAGGAGGCTGAGGCAGGAGGATGGCAAGTTCAGCCTGGAAACTTAGACCCTGTCTCAAAACAAAAAGAAAACAAAGCATAGGATTTGATGGGGAACAGCTGATACAGTGGTGAGACCCAGACCCAAGTGCTTCCTGGCGTTGCCATGCATGCACAGTGATGGTCCCCCGGTGGGCAGAGGCCACTGCAGTCCAGGGCCTGCCCCGGCCTTTACTTCTGAATCCTGAGCTTGAACTCCACCTTACCCTCATAGGGGTCGTGGGGGTTGTCGAAGGTGACATGGTCGGCGAGGACCTTGCACACGATGACGACCTCCTCATTCTGAGGGATGTTGAGCAGCTTCGCTGCCACCAGGGGGTTGCTGTAGTGGGGCTGAGGGAGATACGAGAACCCTGTGTCAACAGAGCTCCAGAGGCAGACGGGTGGGAGAGGGGTTCTTCCGCGTGTGTCTCAGTGAGGTCTGCAGGCCCCCTAGCCACGAGGAGTCAGGGCGGCCACCTGCACCCTGGAGAGGGCGGACCCTGGTCTGCATGGATGGGGACGCGTGTCAACGTCGGCCACTGATGGCCGTGAGTAGAGGATGGTCCGAGTGTGTGGGTGTAAGGATTTGCAGAGCCCTGCAGGGAGGGAGTCCGAGCGGATGTTTATTGCTGTGTGAGATAAACAGTCGGGAGTTGGGAGAGCCAGGATCCAGAAAACACTCAGCCGGTAAAGCGGCCAGGCCTGGGCCCACCTCACTTCCTGTGCTGCTTCCCTGTCTGCACAGCGTGAGGCTGTGGGCAGCTGCAGTGGGGCAGGGGGAGCAGGCCTCTTACCTGTGCTTTCTTCCCATAGTAGGGGAAGTAGTGTAGACTGAAGGTGCCGTTGGGCGGGTAGTACTCCACCTGCAGGGTCCTGGCATCCCGGTGGGGCTCGTCCTGGACAGGAGAAGCCACAGCGGGGCCCAGGGTCAGGTATGTGTGGGCTGGGGTGTGAACATGCACACGAGGTGAGCCATGGGCAAGGCCTCTGCGTGGGTCTGGGGATAGAACCCAATGCTCGGCGACATCCCCAGTCCCTCTTTTGTTTTGTTTTGAGGAGGGGTCTCAGTTGCCCAGACTGGGCGCAAACTTGTGATCTTCCTGCCTGGGATCACGGGCACATGGCACTGTGCCCAGGGTACCCTTCAGTGGGCCTTCAGAACTAGTGCCAGGAGCAGAGTTGCGGGGAAGATGTCTGTGCACAGCCGGGGCCTTACCCCGCACTTCCCACTGGAGCCTCACAGGTCAAGCGCAGCAGGGCTGAGCCTCCCGCATCTGCAGCGAGACAGAGCCACGTGCTCAGCTGCCAACCACTCAGTGAGTGCGGCTGTTGAGGCTCAGCCCAAGTGATTCCAGTCAGAACTGGAATTCCCACAGGGAGCTTGAGCTCATCAAAGAACGGGAGGATGCTTTCACCTCTGTAAGGTGTCGGGTCAGTCTACATGTGTGGCCAAAGTAACTGGAGAAGGAAGAACCAAATCCTGCAACCCAGAGAGAACTGAGGCTCTGAGGTGAGCGATGTGTCCATGGACCCATGTGGGGACCAGGGCTTGGGGTACAACACAAGCGACAAGTTAGCTTTTAAATATCTTACTTGAAAAGTAGTGTAGTTTTTTTCTTTTCTAAAAATACTGGCACTTGTGCAAGAAGGATGTCAGCTGTCACAGCTCTAGCTCTCACTAACCTAGGCAAAACACCCACTGTTGCTGGTGATCTGGGGTGTTTGTAAATAAGCCAGTAGAAAGGACACAGCTCTGTGGTACAAGTAGGGTGGTTTCCCCAAGCTACTGCCAAGCATTCTGAAATTGGTGGCGTCGCCTCTGAAGTAAGACCATGACAGAGAGCATGTTCCTTTCTGCAGGGCCTGCACCGCCAGGCTCCAGACAGTGCCTGTCCCAACTGACAGTTGTGGTGTCCCTGAGGGCTAGTAAGTTCATTCCCATGAGCCCCTGAAGTCTGCAGGTCTAGGCCGCCCCAGAAGCCCCGGCCGGAGGGTGGCAGTCTCTCCTGAGTCTACTCACCAGGAAGGCGCAGTCCACGCGAGGTACCGTGCTGTTGCTGGGGAGGAACTTGACAATCTGGAAGGAAAAATGTTGGTGTCCCATCCTGAGTGCTGAACTGCTAAAGCCCTGACAGAGCCATGGCCATAGCCCTCCTGCCTGCAGCCACTGGAGGGACCCTGGCCAGCCACGGTGGGGACAGTGCACAAGCATGTGGCTTTTCTGGGGGGGGTGGACACAAGTGCTGTAGGCCTTGGAGCCCCCTGCCCTTCCGTCTCTGGAGTAGTGACCCTGGGCCCTCTGCCTGGGCAGCTTCTGCCTCTGGGCCTTGGCCTGGACAGCACCCCTGCCCTGTGCCCACCAGGTGGACAGCACTGAGCCAGCCCTGTGCCCTTTTTGCTGACACACATGATTCTTCCTCCTGGCACGGCCTCGGTCACCAGCAGTGCCCCTCAGGGCCTGGAGGTTGACCCAGGCAGAAAACCCGCTGTGGGAAGTTCCCTGGCACCACCAGCCCCACAGTCCCCATTCTGCCAACCCCCATGGGGGCCTAGGACCCATGTGTGATGGGCGCCCGCTGAGCTCGGATGCAGAGAAATACGGATTCTGGGGGAGACCCCTGCACTCACCCTGTTCATTTTGATGATAAAGCACGGCTTCCCCTCCTCAAAGCCGAAGCTGGGGTCTGTCAGGCCCGAGCAGTTTTGCAGCATGTCCGCTGTGAACTTGCAGGAGAACTTGGTATGGTTTGGGGCCCTGAAGTTGTCCTGGAAGAAATACTTCTCGGACGAGCAGTTGATGCTGCCCCTCTGAGACATAGGGGTGTACCCTGTGGGGACACAGAGCTGCTGTTCACCCTACTCTGGCACTCTTTCCAGGAGACCTAAGCCCCAAGCTGCAGCCGGCTCTGCCTACCTGCTAGGAAGCTGTGGAGCATGTGCACCAGGCCTGCCCAGGAGCTGTTGTCAGAGATGTTGTAGGAAATGTCCAAGCCTCTGTCCCCGTACACATCAGGCCGCAGAGTCACCCCTGGGGAGATGGCATCGTCTGACTGCTTGCTGCAGCCTCACATGTGCCCACCCAGCCATGCGGGGAGCCTCGGGCAGAATGCCCGGAGGCCTGGCTGAGATGGGGCTGGTCTGCAGGCCCCCTGTGCAGAGGGTAACAGGCTGGGCTGCCGTTGGCCCCGGGCCTGTGGCCCCTACCCATGAGCCGGAACACAGCACAGTGGGTGTGAGGCCCGGGCCTGTCCTGGAGAGGCGTATACTCCATAGGGACAGGTCTCAAGCCTATAGCTGGGTCTCTCGTGAAACCATCTGAATGAATGCACATTTAAAAATATCCCCTAGATTTGGTGATGTACAAAAGCAGTCCAATGGCATGTTAGTTGTAAAAATAATTAAAAAACAACATGCGAAAGCGAAGCAAAAGCCATCCCTACCTGTTGCCTTGGGCTGTGTGGTCCCTTGTACCGTGTCCTTGGGGCAGCACCGCCTGCCACCTCCCCCTCGCCTCTCCCTCCAACTCCTACATGTGGAAGATCTGTGCTAGGTTCAGCCTGTCCTGTGCAGGAAGCTGCTTTGCAAATATGTAAGCAGGCACTTTGCTGTTTTAATAGGTGCTGTGAAAGTAACAACCTTACCCAGGCTGAAGCAGAAACTTGTCAGTGGCCCTGGGGGAGCACACCTGTGTCCCAGGCACTTGGCAGGGCCAAGGCAGGAGAATCAGAAACTTGAGCCAAGCCTGGGCAGCATAGTAGTGACTTAGCAAGACTTTGTCCCAAAATAAAAACATTTTAAAAAGGTCTGAGGATGTAGCACAGGGAGACAGCCCTGGGTTCAATCCCCAGCAATGCAAATACAAACAAAACCAGGGAAAAGGCTTTGACCCTGGTTTCCTGGCCACAGGCAGCAGGACCCTGTCTCTCCTCTCCTTGTCCCCAGGGACCACTGGCTGTCCAGTGGGGACGGGGACATCTCCTGCCCACACGAAGTGTCCTGGGTGCACAGCTACACATATGAATTAGCAGATTCAAGGCATCTTGTCTCTGCAACAAAGGCCTTCTCTTCTAGTTTTCAAACTGCACCCAACGTCAGACTGAAAGCTGGGGTTGTCTTCCTCATCAGATGAGGCTGGGAGGCCTCCCTGCCTGGGAATCTCTGGGATTCACCTACCTGGTGACTTCAGCTGGTCCTGGTAGTCAGGCGTGTACGGATCGATGGTCTGCATCAGCACGTAGATGCACAGTGCGAAGAGCCCAGTCATCACCACGTAGAAGGCCACATAGTAGAGGCTGATCCACACTGTGGGGAGAGAGAGTTGGGCAGCCACGTGCAGGTCAGGGCAGCATTCCCAGCAAGGCCTCGGCTCACATTGCTCCGAGCCCCACAGACCCCCTCACTCACCCACAGGTCCCAGCTCCCTCCAGATCCTCCACCCTCTGCTGTCACACAGCTGTGCAGTCTTGCTCTAGGGCCTGCTGAGCCAGCAACTAAAACAGGGACTCTCGGTGAGCCCCTGTGCCTGCACCATCCCTTTCCCCACAATGCTGTCCCTGTCAGTCCTAGCCCTGCAGGTGATCTGCTTGTCCCCACGTGATCTGCCTGACAGGGCAGGGCAAAGCTGGCTGGGGAAATGAGCAGCACCTGTCAATCAATCACAAGCTCCCAGGGCAGCCCAGGATGTAGCACTTCTCAGAGCCCTCACGAGACGTGGATGGCACATCGTGGAAAGCTGCTATCGAGAGTTTGCACAGCAGCCTGTGCCCGTGTCTTGGATGTAGCATGTACTTTCATTTCTCCTTTTCTCTTTGTTTGTCCCACGTTTGCTCTGCAGAGCTGGTTTCTCCTATCCTCATTTACCCCACACTTTTCAAATAAACTTTGGCACTGTTTTTGGTTTCTCTCCTCCAGTTCTTTGCTCGAGGCAAGCAAGACCTGGAATACTTTTGATTGGTGGGCCATTTCTAAAGAGACCACCCTATAACAGATCTTCTGTGCAAATGAACCACAGGGAGGGAGTGGCCCTGGGTGTGGCGCTGTCACCCTGGCCATTTTACTGTTGACTGCGAGGCACTGGGCTGGGCAGGTCATTGTCACCCCAGCCAGCATCCACTAACCAGTAGCCTGTGCTCTGCACCCCAGATGAGTGACTGTTCCCCCATGCCACAGGAGGGGAAACTGAGGTAGAGGGGACGTACTGCCCATGGTGGCTCCATACTCAGTTCCCTGGTGGCACAGTGCTCCTCTGAGTCCCACAGGGACATGGGCAGTGAAGACACAGGGATAGCTGGCTCCGTGCAGCCCCAGGCCCGGAAGCCGATGTGGGAGGGCAGTGGCCATGTTCCAGGTGTGTGTGGCTCTGTCCTGTTTGTTCCTCCAGAGTCAGAACCAAGCACAACCCTGCTCTTCCTGTGATGCAGTCTTGAACACAGGCAGCCTGGGAACCCTGCCTTCCTGTTTCCAAACAACTTCATCAAAGCAGCTGTCTCAGGTGCTAAGGGCTAGCTCCAGACTTGTGCATGTGGATGGGCATGTGAGGCACACCCTCCAGGACAGCACCGTGTTGTGTACCCTGTGACTTGGTGGGGATCCCTTCCGTGAGTCTCGGTCCAGTGCCCCATCATGCAGTGTGGAAGGCAGGGGTCACAAGGTGGCGGTGACCCTGGGGCCACCACATCCTACATGGTGCTGCTCTTTGGCCGGGATCCCCGGGGAGCCGGGCAGTGGGTCTCTGTGCCAGGCTTTCTTCCCCATGAGCCCAGGCCCAAGGCCAGCTGCCTCAGCAGGTGAAGGCCTTGCTCCAGCTGGGGCTGAGTCCCCTAGTGCTGGTAGGGTGATGTCTGCTCAGCTGCCAGGTGGGGCTTGGCAGTCTGTGCCCTGTCAGAGAGCCTTACTGTCTAACCCCACTTTTTAGATGGGGAAACTGAGGTTCAGAGAGGGGTGAAGCCACCTCTACCAACTGCAGGTACATGAAGAGTGTTGGGGAAGGGAGTGACGGAGTCAGCCTGAACCTGGCAGCCTCACTGCTACCTCGGGCCACTCAGCCTCTGGCTGGCAGTGAGAAGGGGCAGAAAGTCCTCACCCAGACCAGGAGAGGGATGGGTCTCCCTGTGGTCTCTGGGTACTGCCCCCAAGGATAAATTAGCCTATTCCTTTGCTTTTGTCAGCTCACTGGGATGGTTTCCTTGGTCCTGAGACTCACCCCCAGGTCTACATCCACACTTGGGCCTGGGGCCTTTCCAGAAAGTTCTGAGGGGCCCAGTGGCCAGCAGGACTGTTCCCAGGAGCCTCAGCAGCTAGGCCCACCCACCTGAAGGCTGAGGGGACAATGGCAACTGTACCCCAACTTCTGCCTAGGCCCCCTCTGCTCTCCTTCCAGCCCTGTTGCCTGAATCCTGCCCAGGCTCTGTTGGCCATACTTGCTTTGTTATCTAGGGCTTCTTGTGTGTACTCTGTGTAAGTCACATCAGAGAGGCAGGGCGTGCCAAGAGCACAAGAGAACCGGCCTCAGAGAGGCCGCACTGTGTCCCCGCAGGTACAGACAGTGGGTTAGCACACCATCAGCATCATTGGCAACTTTGTGGCTGAGCTGAGGGGCTGAGTCGCCTGAGGAGGGCCCCAAACCGCTGCATCACTGAAATCCACTGCTCATTGTCATCCCCTCAGCTGGGCGGTCGGGGAGGTGGGGCCCAAGTTGGCACCCCATGGGCTGCCTGGGCCCTGGAAGCAGGGTGGGCCAGGATGTTCTGTGGTGGGGCATACTCCATCTCCCGGGACAGGCAGTCCCACAGAGGCGCTGGGACCTACAAGGCACTCCTGGCAAGGGCCTGAGGGGGCTGTAGGGGATTCACTAATTCTCAGCTCACTGTGCAATTTGTTTGTGGAGGACTTGCCCTGCAGTGCCCCTCATTGTGAGCAAGGACAGCCTTAGCCAGACTCCCACAGCCAGGAGGGAGAGGTCCTGGTGGCCAGCAGCCCTCTAGGCACTGTCCTGCACAGAGAGGGAGTAGGTACTGAGATGCAGCCTGCACAGTAGGGGGAACCACAAGTATGGCGCACATGCTGGGTCCCAGAGACTCGTTCCTTGATGGACAACTCTATGTGCCTCGAATTATTCGACCAGAGAGCTACCATCACTGC